ATTTATTTTTGCTGTATCCTTATGAGATTAACAGTGGCTACTGAAGTTTTATTAAAAGAGAAACTAAACTCTTAAGACTCTTTAAGGTAGGAACCACATCTCAGTCATTGTTCCATTCCCTGGCCTTAGTAATCACTAAACAAATTTGACTGACAGTTTAGTCTCTTCCCTTGCAACACCTCCAAGCATAATTTTTATTGGTTCACTTTTATCTGAAGGTAAGTAGGATCTACCATAGGCTAAATTATAAAATAAAAATTGCCTTTTAGCATCCTTCCCCTCTATCCCAGCAATTTTTACCTGCACTCTTTGATTCTTGTAAGATTTACTAGATGTTTAAAATGTTCCAGGCAATATGTTAAACATTTTACACTGATAATCTCACTTACTGTTCACAGCCAACCCTACGATAAATACTATTATCTCTACTTTGCAGATAAGGAGACTGAGGCTTAGAGAGGTTAAATCATTTGCCCAAAGTGGCGGAGCAACATTTGAACCCAGGTCTGTCTGACTCTAGACTACAGCCTGAATTCCTAACTATTACGCTCTACTGCCCACCTTGATGAAACCCTACCTTCGGTGGTGAAAATAAGCTGCCACAGAAGTCTTTTGGTAGACCACTAAGGACTGAGGAGGTGGTGAAAGTATTAAGAACCAAGTTCCTGATGAAAGATTGTATGGAGTGAATTGGGAGACAATTCTAGCCACAATTTGAACAGATATTTATAGAAAGCAGAACACAAGTAGTTACGGTTTACTCAGACTGGCGCCTGTAGATATCAAGAGTAGTAACACTGTATTTTAGGCTTTGATATCTCAACAGGACAGCACAGGGCACCCAGGGAGGAAGGGGCTCTGCCAGTCAGTTTGCTTTGAAAAAACGAGCATGACTTTGAGGGACTGTGGATGAGAAGTGGAGCACTTGACTTACGGGAGTTGTAAATGGAACTGTGCTTTCATCCCATCCCTGGTTTAGGATATACACAGATCCTGTACAGGAAGGAACAAGTATTTATTCATTCCTCTTTTATTCAGAGTATTAAATGTAAAATCTTTTGTTTCAGAATGACAGAGGGTAGACAAAATAGAGAAAAACAACTGATCATACATACACTTGACCAGTAAACATATACATTCATTTTCCTTCAGTAGGCTTAATTGGAAGTGAGCTTATTGGGGGTGTGGGGACATTTAAGGGTAACACAATGTTATCAGGAGCAGTGGTCAGTCTCTTACTGCCTCAGCAGCTGCTGATTGCCAGTAGTGACCTCTGCTAGCAAAATTTTCTTCCTTCAGTCCACATAAGGTGGTCGGAATCACCTAATGGCTTATGGTTGCAGAAAACTCAATTCATCATTCTACAAGAGACACAAAGAGCTGATACTGTACTCCAGACTTCTGTGCTAAAATATAGCAGTAAATGCTTATCAATGCTTCTATCTTCAGACACAAGCAACTCCTTGCTTTTCAGGTAAAAACCTGTTTTTCTACCTTTAAAAATTTCTTCTCAAAACATGTTCAGAAAACAAGTTTTACATAAACATGCTTATGACATTCATTAGGAACAAAACAGTTGTTATTTTGACAAGGTTGGGAGATAAATGAGGCCTTTTTTTAAAAAAGATTTTATTTATTTATTTGACAGAGAGTGAGAGAGCACAAGCAGGGGGAACTGCAGAGAGAGAAGGGAAAAGCAGGCTTCCCGCTGAGTAGGGAGCCCTATGCGGGGCTCGATCCCAAGACCCTGGGATCACGACCCAAGCCAAAGGCAGATGCTTAACTGACTAAGCCACCCAGGCGCCCCTAAATAAGGCATTCTTTACGAACTTATGTACCTCACAATCACCAATCTTGTACCAGGCATATTACAAAGGTAGTCTCATTTAACGCTGACCACCCTCCTCAAGAAATCTTTAAGTGGCATCATGACGTACATTTTAGTGACAAACTCAGAAAAGTCACAGTTGCAAGGTAAAACAACAGCAACAACAAAAACAGCAAGATAGGACCCAGTTCTATCTGAATATATAGCCTATTTTTATACTAAATGACACTTTCTCTTTACCTTATGCTGTTTTAAGCCTTATGACACCTAAATTAATCTGAAACATGAATATGCAGAGGACGCCTCAGATTTCAGAGTGAAGCCAAAGGAAAAAAGCAATATACCAAAGCTTATTCCTGGATCACATAGGCAGGCATGGAACACTGCAACTGTTATATAATCTAAAACCAAATAATTTTTCCTCAAAAAAAAAAAAATCCCTTTCTGAACTTATTTCAGTCACTACAACTGTTCTAGTCATGCAGATTTAAAATCCTAATACTTAAAGCATAATGAGGGCTTATAAATTAATGATGTAATAGGGCAATGCTAATTATATGATCAACATTTAGGAACACAAAGATCCCAGAATTAATTTTGTAGGGTGAGAGACCTGTTGAAGACTTTTTAGAGGAAGTAATATATGAGCTGAGCATTGACTAAGTCCTGCTTTGCCTAGCAAAGGAAGGGAGAGGGCTACTGGTAAACAGATAAAACTTTGAAAATACATAGCTTCATTCTCTCTATATCCAATGAATCATCTGGTTATTCCTTCACAATATTTTTTACATCTGCCCCTTTTCCTCACCTCATAGTTGTAGATTACTACCAATCAACTCATAAGGTATACTATGTGTCCTAATTTCTAATTCACTTGTTTTTTCCTTCCTTTAAATACTCATAGACACTGCTTACAGACTAACTTTTAAAAAATACCTCCTTTTACATGACTGTAGAATCTTCAGGCGTCCCCACTGCCTCTGAAGTACGGAGTTCAAACTCCAATTCTCCCACAGTCCATAAGCTATATTCCTAACTTTCTCCCTAGAACCAAGTCAACAGATAAAACAACATGATCAAGTATAGGCTTATAGCCATCAGCACACTTTTACTGACCATTTACTGAGTGGAAAAGGTAGGACCTCTAGAAGGTACTAGGAGGACAGTTGAGTCAGCCACAAATCTGGAGTCTACAGTATGGTAGATGAAAGCCAGATGTGCATTTAGGAAGCTAATTTTAGAAGATCGCATGTGTCCCATAAGCAAGACTGTAAACATGCTTGATGTTCTAGTGGAGACATGGAGAAAGGGCTTAAAGCTGAACTTTAACCATATAAATAAATGCTTATTTGCTTATGTAGTTTGGTTTTCAATTTAGCTTAATATTAGAATGGACACTGTTAAAGAAGTCTTGTTCAATTCAACATCTATTGAGCACAGTGTACTTACTGAACAGAAACTAATTATTCTACATGAAATAGTAGAATGGGGCAACTGGGGGTGGCTCAGTAGGTTAAGTGTCTGACTTGATCTCAGCTCAGGTCTTGATCTCATGGTCATGAGTTCAGGCTTCACGTTGGGTCCCATGCCCAGCATGGAGCCTACTTTAAGAAAAAAAAAAAAAGAAATAGGAGTAGAAGGTACAACTTCTCTTTGCTTTTAAGCCAGCCCCTTCTCCAAGTAGTACAATTAGAGCTTGCATTCACAACAATCCATGAAGGACAGAATTTTATTACTGGTTAAATAGAAGGGCAGAAGAAAGGGAAGTATTTTTTTTTTTATTAGAGAGAGAGAGAGAGCATAAGCAGGGGAAGCATGAGAGGGAGAAGCAGACTCCCCACTGAGCAAGGAGCCCGATGTGGGGCTCAATCCCAGGACCCTGGGATCACGACCTGAGCTAAAGGCAGACACTTCACTTACTGAGCCACGCAGGCACCCCAAAAGGAAGTATTTCTTGACAGAACTTAAAATGTACTTCAGAGCTTCTAGATATCTGGTAATGTTATGAAAACTATAAAGCCATTATTACTGTATGAGTGTTCAGATAGTTACCATTTAGAAATATGACACCAGAAGACTACTCTGCTTATGATTCAATCAGTTCCTAAAATGCAACCAGAGTGATTTTTTTTCAAAACACAGATCTAAACATGTTGCCCGTCACTTCACTAAATCCTTCAGTGAGACCCTATTCTTCTTAGCATGGACAAACTCCTTAAGAGATATACAAGATCCTGCCATGGCCTGACCCCTACCTATTTTTCCAGTCTCTTTCACTCAACCCCAGCATCGCTGCCCTTTTTGTTCTCATTTTCCCTGCTATAATTAACTTGTACTTACCATTCGGGTCTCAGCTCAATTGTCACTTGCACAGGTAATTACTTAAACCAGAGCAAAATCCCTATTATAGTATTCTGTACTTCTTTGTGGAGCATTTATAACAATTTTAATTTTATATTTGTGTGATTATTTAATATCTAGACTTTTTTTAGACTATAGTCTAAAAAAGCAGAGATTTTATGTTAAAATTTTTCACATAATGAAAAATATGTAAAATGTTATTTAGAATATATGTATTTTTTTAAATAGCTCTAGCCTAAGGGATAAACCCAGGAATAGCAGCATTTATCTTCCCAGGCACTACCCTTTAAAACCTATAAAACATCTACATTTAAACAATAACCTAACCACTCTTTTTGTTTATCTGTAAAATATGGATAACCTTAAAAGATGAGCTACACATAATAAATGAAAAAACTTTATAAAGTTCTTAAAACAATGTAGGGCACCTGGTAAATGCTAAATAACTGATGCCTATGAATAATAAACCCCTAACTAATTCTGATGTTCTTTCAAATGAGTTAAAATGATTCTGAGAAGGATAAAAGAGACTTAAGAATTGTTACATCTTTTGTTATAATTTTTAAGATGGTTATATCATTATCAGTTTTCTTCCTATTATTTACTATAACCCAGATTTCTTTACTTTTTAAGATAGATACAAGCCATTAAAATATGTACATAAAATACACAGATACATAAAATTTATCTTAAAATGCATACTTTATTTTGGTAGCCAATGACCATCAATCAAAGAAAGAAAAGAAAACTAATTTTATGAAGAAAGACAAATCTATGGAGTGGTTTACAGGAAGTGAAGAATGAGATGGCTCAACCAAACCAGCCTGGAATCATTAACTACAAAATGTCAAACTAACTACAAGACAAGTGTCAAATGGGACATTTAAACAGTTCTGAAATGTTACACATCTTCCTTTAGCTTTTGTTATTTTTCAAAATTGTATGTAAAAGTTATACGATTCATAGTAATAGCTAACAATTCCAACCTATGAAAGTAGTGATTCGCAATATAAAGTTCTATTTTGATACTTTTCCATCTTCAAATCAATTGCTGTCATCTGAGGTACTCAGTTATGTGGTGGTTTAAACTTCCTCAGCTTGACGAGAAAAGCTAATTTAAGGAGACAAAAAAGTAAGGTCATTACAAAATTAGAAGAAAACAACATTTAATATGGCCTGAAAACATCACTCACCTGTATGACCAGTTTGCCAGTGTATAGGTCTAGCAATATAGGGAAATGATCCATATGGAAAATCAGAATGTGACTCTTCTGTTGTAGAACAAAATATGTATTATAAGCTATATAAAATATTTTATAATTTGTTCATAAAACTGTTAAAATACAAATTACTGCCCCTTTAAGTTTTTTCTCTCAAACCTTTTTTTTTTTCCAGCATTTGTTTTGGAGCTGCTCTGCTAGTTATCTTACAGAAAAAATTTGTCAAGGATTAAATGATAAACTTATATATGGTTTTATAACCAAATGGATAAGCCTATATATCATCCATCAATGGATATTTGAAAACTTGTTCATGGCTTAAATAATGACCATAATGGTCATACAGCAAGGACCGAAATTTAGCTCTTTGAGGAATTCCAGTAGCATCTTGGAAGTTGCTTTTTGGAATATTAGCTATTTGCATATCAGGTCCTATTAAATTCTTTCCCTTCAGTAATAATCACTGACCTAAATTAAAAACATCCTTTAATATATTTAAAGTATTCCATAAGCCAACCTCCTTGATACAAAAATATCAATTCTTCAAAGGTATCAGAGTTTTACGTAAAAGGCAAGAAAAGTCATTTTTCTGTCCTTTAGAGATTTTAACAGAATAAATACCACATTTCAATTTCTCTAGGGAAAAAGAACAAATCCCTCAGAAATAGTTTTATAATCATTGGTCAGTACACTCAGGAACCTATCCTCCATTTATTATTACAAACATGATGAAATAAAATCGAACCTCACCATGGTCATCCTCTTGAAACATCTCACCTTCAATTCTAATTTTCTTTTGAGAATGTAATTGTAAATCTGTGTTGATTTTAGGTTCCATTTTTTGAGCTAAAGTTCCATTTTTCTGTTTTGCAAGGCAAACCAACCAATCTCTGACAATGACTTCACTTATCTTTTCACATGAGAGAGCAAGTTCACAGATGCGAATTCCATCCAAAAGTTCAATAACCTGTGTGATACTTTTAGAAAAGGGAAAAAAAGTACTTTAAATTTCTATTACAATAATAACTTGATACTTATTTTAAGTTCACTATACTTCTTAACCCAAATTTAAATGCTATAGTTAAACCAAGGGGGAAATATAAACATGCAAGTTAGATCACATAACATGCAATTTCATAGACTACTAAGTAAAAAATATATATATATATACAGAGACTATGATTTAACACTGTTCACATTACACTTTTAAAACTTTTCTTCTAAACTGTAAGAAATATGCATCTTATTTTACCATTCAGGTAAAGGGTGATTTAAACAGCAATATAAATTAATTGGGACATACGTCATTTTGTAACAGTTTTACAAGATGACATATATACCTAATTCGGTTACAAAAACGAACATTGTAGTCAACTACTTGAGACAAAACAAAAGTGTGTTTAAAATCACATTACAAAGAACAGCCACATTACTCACTTCGCTAGATATACAGCACACACACCACCCTGTTTAAGATTTGGATATAAAACAGGCAAAGCAACTTGAGGATTCAACATGTCCAAAGCTACCTGTCAGGGGGAAAGCAAATCAGACTGAGTTTTGTTTAAACAAAGCACAGGTGTTCTTTCTTACTGCGGTAAAATGATACACTTTTGAAAAGCAATTACCCAGTTAAAGTCTTCATTTTTTTAAACTCTAATACTATTAGCTGTCATTTTGCTGTTCTCAAAAAAGCATTATTATACAGTGTGTCACAGTACTTGACTACGTGAAAATCATAATGGCATGTCTTGCACTTGGCAATATCAATAATACAGGAATCTTTCTTCAGCTATATCTCATATACACATATCTATACAAATGCATACGTATCTATACAAGTTTTAATACTTTAGTTCAGCTTTGGCAACAAATTCACATGATCTTAAGTATGTATTTCTATGTTCAAAAGGAAAGTTATGAGTATTAATTTTAGAGATTCTAAAATGCAAGAATCCTGACCCTTAGTTCTTTATTCTTCATCCATTTGCACAATACAGGACTGTACTCATAAAAGATGTCAAATGAATACAATGAGTAAATGAAATTTAAAAAACAAATTCATTTACAACAAAAACAAATATGGTCAAAATAGAAAAAGTGGCTTTTATTGATGAAGAACTCTGGAAAGCTAAGAGTAGTTGGCACATCAACATGTTTACTAAATTAGAAATTATTCCATTATTTATGTGTTTTTTTAAATAGTATTAATGGGTCATCATTAATTCATTCACCAAATATTTATTGAGCACCTTCCATGTGCCAAGCATTTTGCTAAGTAGTAAGGATATATAACAGGAGCTTATATTCTATTTTGTTTCAAGGGACCATATATTCTAATAAAGGGACAGACATTAAACAAAAATCCAATAAATATGTAAGTCAGAGGAGGATAAGTGACATGATGAACTTCAGAATTATAAAACAGAATATAAGGGGCAGAGAGTAATGGAAAGGAAGGCTATTTTATACGTAGGCTGGTCAGTGGAGAGACCTGAAGAAAATGATTAAGCTTACCCTGTGGAAATTTAGGGTGGAAGTGTGCTCCAGATGGACAGACAGCAAGTACAAATGCTCTGAGACTGTAGGACACTTGGTGAGTGTGAGAAGGCCACTGTTGCTGCAGTGGAGACAAAAGGGGAAAAACGCTAAGAGACGAACTGTGAGTGTACAATTCAGGGGCACAAGTACATTCTGACTTATTCATTCGATCTACACATAGAAAAGACTGGGAGAAGGCAAGGAGGGATGACGGTGACTTGCAATAGTCAATAGCACTAGATATGATAACAAGTGGTATCTATTTTGGAAAAGATAGAGTCAGGATTGGTTGTAGGATAGGAGAGTAAGAGGAGTCAGGATGAATCCAGTGTTTTCAGCCTATGCCACTGAAAGAACAGAGACGTCATTTTCTAGTAAGGAAAATGGTGAAGACTATGGGAAGGGCAGGCTTGGCAGAAATAATCAAGAATTCAGGTTTGGACAGGAGTTTAAAATGCCTATTCGATTTCAAGGAAAGATCTCAATGACTGAATCAAAGGGTCAACATGATAAACATAAATGGGCTTCTTCGGCTGTAGTTTGTCTATGTTATTGACAGGGACCAAAAATCAGATAACCAAGAAACTTGCCAATCCTCTTGAATACTCTATTTTCAATTAACATTTCCATTCATCCAGTCACTCAAACTGGAAACTTGCTGAGAGTCATCATTTTCTTTACCTTGAATTCTCTTTTGAGAATCTGTGGGGTTTAGTTGTTTCCGTTTGGATTAAAATTATCCAGCCCCACAAACCTATTAAGTATTTCTCAAATTCATCCTGTGGCTAATGCCTTAGATCAGGACCTTATTGTATCTTACTGTAACATTACAATAGCTCTCTACATAGACTCACAGCCTTATTCTTCCACCAGAATGACTCTAAAATGGAAGAGTATACTTATCCTGATGAGTACTGAGTAATACATGGAATTGCTGAATCACTATATTGTACACCTGAAATGAATCGCTGTATGTTAACTATACTGGAATTAAAAAAAAAAAATGAATTACTTTAAAATAGGAATCTGGACATTCTCCTCCCCACTTAGGAACTCAGCAGTAGTTCCCATTATCTGTAAGAAAATGTCTCTATGCCCTAGCTTAATATACATACAAGTGTTCTTCATTATCTAGCCCCTTAAGACTGCATTTGCAGCTTCATCTCATGATACCCAATTCTACAGCCATGGTGTTCAATGCTTCTGAGTCTTTCCAGTAATTGTTTATTTGTCTATCTTCTAGACTGAAAGCTCCTTTAAATGTATAATTCACTTTTGTCTTAGCATAGTACATGGCACATAGCAGGTCTTTAATAAATGCTTGTTGAATCAAGAAACAGTGGTTCAATAATTCAGAAAATGATGATAATCCCCCAGTTAATGAATAAGATACATTCCATGAAAGAGGTGACCTTTGAGCTAAACTTTGAGGGGAAAATAGAATTTAAACAGGTAGAGAAAAGGAAAGACATAATAATGATGAAAGTCTTAGCTAATATTTCTTTAATGCTTACTATACACCAGGTACTGTTCTATGCACTTTATATGAAGTATCTTATTTAATCCTCAACAACTCTATGAAATATGAACTATCATTATCACTCCTGTTCAGTACGTGAGAGAACTGAGGCACAGAAAGATTAAGTAACTTATCCAAGATCATCTTGGCTATTATGGGAGCCCAAGAGTGAACCAGGCTGAACGGACGCCAAAACTTAGTTTCCTCTTCCCCTCTCCCTTTCTTTCCTCAGGTAATCACTGTCCTGAAGTTGGTAATGTTCCCAAATAATTTATACTTTTACAACATATGTATATAGCTATAAACAGTACATGGTACTGTTTTATGTAGTTTTAAATTTTACCTATGTGTGGCCATTCCATACATATTCTTTTATAATGATTCTTTTCACTAAGCACCGTCTTTTGAGATTTACTGATGTACATATAGTACATTTATTTCACTATGTTAAATAATACTATTTTTAGTAGTCCATTGTATCCATTCATCTTCTGATGGTTAGGCTTTTTAAAATTTGTTAAAAATATTTTATTAGCTCTCTGGGCTCAGACCTAGTTTGCGGCGACATGGCTAAACGCACCAAGAAGGTCAGAATCGTGGGTAAATACGGGACCTGTTATGGTGCCTCCCTCAGGAAAATGGTGAAGAAGATTGAAATAAGCCAGCACGCCAAGTACACTTGCTCCTTCTGTGGCAAAACAAAGATGAAAAGACGAGCTGTGGGGATCTGGCATTGTGGCTCCTGCATGAAAACCGTCGCTGGTGGCGTTTGGACCTACACCACCACTTCTGCTGTCACAGTAAAGTCGGCTATCAGAAGACTGAAGGAGTTGAAAGACCAGTAGAAGCTTCACCATTTGAAACATTACTAGCCTATAATAAATGGGTTAATTTATGTAACAAAATTAAAAAAAAATTTTATTAAACATTTTTTTCTCCTTTTGTTCTCTGTCTTTGTAGCTTAACACCTTATTTGTTCAATTTACCATCATTTTGGATGGCAGGAGTATGGCTCCTCCTCCTATATTTTCTCATACTGGCAATCATCTGACACTATTACTCAAGAGAGTCCATCGAATAAATCTAGTAGGGAATATTCTTTCTTTTAGATCAGGGATGGTTCAACAGGTTTCTACAAAGCTTCAGTGGTATCATTAAAGTCTTTTGTTGTTTCATGATCATCAAGCAAACTTCTGATGACCAATTAACGTTCTAGGTATCTGTAACATTCTTATGGATGGCCTATGTAGAGAAACTCCTTTTTTCTGGCCCTTACTGAGCTGTAGTATGCAAGCCAAACAAGGATGAGGAAAAAGAACTGTGGTCTTTGTGTCCAGGAATCTGAGTCACCAAAACCACAGACTTTATTAACATTAGAGATAGGAACCAGTCCTGATAAAAAATCTCTTTGAACTTCATTTTTCAACTAGTTTTCCTCAGAAAATGATAAAATAATCCAACTTTCCAACAGCCAATTAAAAAAAGCAAAGATGACCTAGACCTCAGTCTGTAGTGCCAAGCTATGAAATGATAATGGAATCATCAAGGATTAAGCAACTTACACTAGAATTCTGAAACTCTGAAGCCAACTAATACCTCCATGTCCCACATCTCTACCATCACTGGTCACAGCCTAAAATATCCCTTCATCATGTACCCTTTTATCTTCATACTACTGTTTCTTCTCCCTAACTCAACCTCTCACTGTTCCTCCTCCTCACATATCCATCCACTCCACTTTCTGGAGGTATGCTCATAATAAATGCCCCCAAACTCAGTATCTTTAATGAACACTCATTAAAGATATGATAACTGTCTCATGTTAACTGTCTAAAGATGCCTCTTGCCTGTTCCCCGACAGATGGGGGCCATTCCCCCAAATCTCACAACATGAGGTCAGGCACTGGGATCAATATGTTCCCAAAGCTGCTCCTAAATTATTATTCCTTTATCCTAGAAATGCTGAGGTTCACGATGCTCAACTACTCCTCTTACTATCTGGTCATTACCCCACATTTATTAACAGCTTTGGCACCTGATTCAGTATGTCTCTCTGCTCCAAATCCTACCATGATATTAAAGGAAAATATTCCTCCTACTCCTACAAACAGAAATGGGGCAAATAATGAAGAGCCTTTTCCATACAAAAGAAGTGTGATCCTTGTTTTCTATGTAGTCAGTATTAGATAAAATCATAGGACCTACTTTAGAAAACTTACCGCATCAAATGTTAAAGTTTTTATGTCTTCAGTTGCTCCTAAAATATCCTTATGAATAAAATTCACATTGTCTGGCCACTCTTCTACATGACTCATCTTCCATGAATCACACCACTTTTTGTAATTCTTCTTAGCCAATTCATGGTGGTCTTTTCGTATTTCAAAACTTATGACTCGTCCTTGTGATCCAACTTAATTAAAAAAAAAGAACTTATGATATTTCATTGTATTCTATCATTTCATAAAAGAATATAAAGAATTACTCTGCAAAGGTATTACATTGATGTGAAAAAATAATTCAAATAGTTCAGGGTTAGAAAACTCTCTATCCCATCCCAGATCCTTAATCAATTTTCCTCTCCAAAGGCAACCATATTACCAGTTATTTACCCTTCACAAGATAGCTGGTGCCAACTGTCTTTCCCTGTTTTTAACACACATTAAAACTTACAGGTATTATATACACTGTTCTATACTTTCCTTCTACTTACCAATGTTATTTCAGTGATTAATAATCTACTATATCCCTTTTAAGAGTTATTATGTTCCATTGTATGGTTATGCCATAGTTTATTTAAATCGTCATCTACTGATGAACATTTAGCTTTTTTCTAGTCTTACGCTATAACAAACAATATTGCAATGAAAATTGTTGCCTAAACCTTTGTATCCATGAAAAGACAGTCCTCAAAATGAAATTACTAGCTCAAGAGGTATGTGAATTTTTTATTTTGAAAATTATTACCAAATTATCCTCCAAAAAATAATACCAATTTACACTCTACCCACGATGTAGTAGAGTGCCTATTTCTCCATACTTTCTCCAACAAAGAGTTTTCAAATTTTTATCTGTGTCAATCTAAAAAGTGAATACAGGGGCACCTGGGTGGCTCAGTTGGTTGAGTGTCTGCCTTTGGCTCGAGTCATGGGGTCCTGAGATCGCGTCCCACATGGGGCTCCCTGCTCAGCAGGGAGACTGCTTCTCCCTCTCTCTCTCCCTCTGTGCTCTCTCTCTCTCAAATAAATAAATAAAATCTTTAAAAAATATAAAAACTGAATATAGTTTATCACTGTAGTTGTAATTTACATTTCTTTTGTTATGGATGAAGTTAGGCATTTCATATATTTAAAAGATATTTGTATTTTTGTGTGTGTCTGAAGAACTTTTAAACTGTTTAGCATAGTAATAGTGCAGTTTCTGCAGAAGACTATTTGCATTTTAATTAAAGGCAATTAATTTTCCACCCACCTCTGTTTGAGGTGATTTGGTATCATTTGGGAGTTGTCCTAGATCAGTAAGTCTATAGTTTACTAATGAAAAGTTTAAATTCTAGGATGTCTTTTGAAATATAACTCCAGCTGCAGTTCATCATGTTCTCAAGGGACAGAATTTAATGTTAACATTAGCATAAGCTAAACAATTGGAAAATTACGGAGGAAAAATCCATCACAAAGGTAAATAGCAATAATTTCTTGATCACGCATAGTTTGGGATTATTCATGCCATGACATGCCTCTGATACTATAGATATTAGAAATATGGGCACTCCTCTCTCACAAATTTTTATAAATTCACTCTGTCAAATGGACTTAGGATTTAGTTACTAACTGCGAAGAAATGACTGCCTTTAACTATGTACAGAAAAGAATCAAAAAAAGATTTGAGGAGGCCAGAATGAATTTCCTGACCTGGCATAAACTGGATTATGTTTGTATGTGATGGCATTAGGTGAAAGAACAAAGGGTTTAAGTTTAATTCAGTATATTTTTATCTGTTTCTTTATAAAATCTACCCACATACACCTATGACAGCTCTAACAAAGTTTATTATTGAAAAAAGAATACACTAATAAAGAACATGAAAAGAGTGCAATTACTGTTCAGCAGTCTATCATTAACTGAGGAAGGACAACTGCACAAGCAGCCAGAACAGCCAAAGCAACCCTGACACTCTGAGGAATTAAACAGTCAACAGGAGCACTAATCAATTAAAATAACAGTAACCAGAAATCAAGTGATGGGAACATGAACAGATATTTATGTTTACTGTATACCTCTTGATTTTTTTTTAAAAAGATTTTATTTATTTATTCATGAGAGAAGCAGAGGGAGAAGCAGGCTCCCAAGGAGCAGGGAGCCTGATGCGGGACTCGATCCCAGGACCCTGGGACCATGACCTGAGCCGAAGGCAGACGCTTAACCATCTGAGCCACCCAGGCGCCCTACCTCTTGATTTTTGATCAGGTGCTACCCTGAAGCAATACTTTTACCAACTGATAATTTTTAGAGACTTTGCAGCTGACCACCCTCTACATTCTATATTCTCTCATACTGAATATTCATCTGGAATTGTTATTAACAAAAAACATGTACACATATGAACCAAAAGACAAATACGAGAATGTTCAGAGCAGCACTATTCATAATATTCAACTCAAATGCCCAGAATGACAGAATGGATAAGCTGTAATTTGTTTATAAAATGGAGTTATTATATAGCCACTAAAATGAAAGAACTACTGCCACATGCAATGGCTGACTCTCACAAACAGAATGTTGCAAGGAACCACATTCAAGAGTACATACTGTATGATTACTTTTATACAAGGTTCAAAACAGGCAAAACTAATCAATGATGATAAAAGGCAGAATAGTGGTTACCTTTAGGGACAATCAATTATGACTAAGAGGAAACATGAGCAAGTTTCTGTGATGCAGCAACATTCCCTGTCTTGGTCTGAGTGATAACTACTTGAGTATGGTCACTGTATTAAAAATTCTTTGAGGGGGGCGCCTGGGTGGCTCAGTCAAGCATCTGCCTTCGGCTCAGGTCACGGTCCCAGAGTCCTGGGATCGAGCCCCGCATCAGGCTCCCAGTTCGGTGGGAAGCCTGCTTCTCCCTCTCCCACTCCCCCTGCTTGTGTTCCCTCTCTCGCTGTGTCCCTCTCTATCAAATAAATAAATAAAATCTTTAATAAATAAATAAATGAAAATTCTTTAAGGGTCTACACACTTATTATCTGTGCACTATAGTTATGTTATGTTCCAATAAAAAGTTTAGTTTAAAAAAAAGGAAGAAGCCTTAAAACACATGGAGGGTGCAAGAGAAAGCACAGAAAATGGAGAGAGGGTTAGAGGGAGAATGACTAGAATAAATGTACAAGGTGGAAAAAAAAATAGTTGCTTGCATTTGATTTCATCACAAAGTTATGTGAATATTTTTTCTTTTTTTTTTTTTTTTAAGATTTTATTTATTTATTCATGAGACACACAGAGAGAGAGAGAGGCTCCCCACAGAGCAGGGAGCCCAATGCGGGACTCGATCCCAGAACCCTGGGATCATGACCTGAGCCAAAGGCAGCCACTTAACAGACTGAGCCACCCAGGCGCCCTGTGAATATTTTCTAAGACATCTTTATCCACTTAACTTTCTGTTATTATGAAAGATTGAATGTTTTCTTTGCCCATCTAAATTCAGCTCATTTCTCCCAATCTCTTACCTGCTTTGGATAAAAATAAGCTCATTCCACCAGAGCCTGAGCCAGCTTCCAAAACAGTATCACCTGGGTGGATATCCATCATCAACAGTATCATACTCATATCCTATGATTGAAACATAGTATGGGTGACTCAGTGACCAATAAATATGTACTAAGCACAGACTCTTATCAAACACTATGTTGGACTTGGAAAGAAAGGAGTGAAAAGAGAGTATTAAAATCTGGCCCGGCCTACCAAGAGTTGATATTTTACTTGATGAAATGAGAGTCAAGAATCACCTAGCAAATAAAGCAACACTTCAACATAATACCAAAATTATAGACAATAAAAGCAATAGGAGTTCAGAGAATAGAGATATCAGAAGAAGGCCCTAGCTTAAAGACACAGAGAGTTTAAGGAAACAATCACAAAGTAGAAACAGTATTAAAGAAAAGAGAGGTAGAATAAACACAGTTTGCTCATCTCAGAAGAAGAGAAAAGGAGAGAACTAAATGCCAGGCTAAAGCACTTGAACTTGACCTGGTCAGTAACAGGGGCATGTCACCAAGGTAATATAAATGGCATTTTATGAAGATTAATCTGACAGGGAAATGCAGAATATACTAGAGAAAAATTAGAAGCAGTAAGACCAGTTAGGAAGTATTACATAATCTCTGCATGAAACAAAATGAACTTCTCATTTAGCATTAGGATACCAGTAATAGATAGGACCTATTTCACAAATGCTGTAATTGAATCGTTAACAGGAATATCATGGATGATAGTAATAAGGGCTATTTATTTAAACTTTACCATGGGCCAGGCTTCTTTAAGCATGCAAATTGCTTTCATAATCTTATTAATCAGGATAATAATATGAGAAAAGTATCATCATCCCTATTACAAAGACATATCAAAGATATTAAGTAATTTCCCCAAAGTCACACAGCCAGGAATTAAGTGGGCAAGTCAGGAGCAGAATGGATGTTGAACTCACAAAGACCACGCTGTTGATCATTACACTATACCACATGTTATATAGAAAAATTTAAACATTAGCATTTATTTCAACACTCCCCCATCCGAACCTTCAAAGTTGCTAATAAATAAGCAGCACATCTGGTAAGTTTTTACTAGCTTTTCCTTCTGTGGAAAAAGCTGCTGTGAAAATTCTTAAAGAGGAGGTTTCTAGGATCCTGTTGAGTAAAAAAAAAATTGTATATTAAATATATGTTTGGTTGCATAAGAAAATGTTTAACAGGTACAGTTGTCTAATTAAAAGCCAAAATGTATTTTCTAAAATGCACGGCTAAGACTTGGACCAAATGATATACAGATACGTAATTTTTAAGATGTATTAGTCCAAAAGTTTCATTCACAAATGCTGAGTCTTTCAGACATACATATCTCCTCCCACATGCCAGGCACCCACAAAAGTGGGAGCAGTTTAGGTAGTCATATCAATGGAATGTCCTGCAGAAGGCAGTTCTATTTTTCTTGGATCATTTATATAAGATAAAGAACCCTACTATTATGAAATAAAAAACTTGAGCACACTTTAGCTTTTGTTTCCTGCTATTCAGGTTACATGATATCAATGGGATGAGTTTTCTTTTTTTTTTTTTTAAGATTTTATTTATTTATTCATGAGAGACAGAGAGAGAGAGGCAGAGGGAGAAGCAGGCTCCCCAGGAGCAGGGAGCCTGATGCAGGACTTGATCCCAGGACCCTGGGATCCTGACCTGAGCCGAAGGCAGACGCTTAAGCATCTGAGCCACCCAGGCGTCCTGGGATGAGTTTTCTAGACTGGATTTCACTACATACATCCCAGCAATTTCAGTTCGAAACTTGGGTGGGACATTTGCATTTATTCATTTCCCTGCCTCTTCCCAAAAGGGATTTAAAGCTATTGGGAGAGTCCTTCAAAGTTATAAACTATCATTCTTCTATTGAGTTTTCTGCACATTTTAGAACTTCAGGTAACAACAACCCTTTCAAACTTCCATTTTTTTTCTCAACATGAATTCCAATCTCCCGATTAATTCACTAATATAAATCTAATCCTCAGCCTCAAGTTTTATTTTTTTTTTAAGATTTTATTTATTTATTTATTGACAGAGAAAGAGACAGCGAGAGAGGGAACCCAAGCAGGGGGAGTGGGAGAGGGAAAAGCAGGCTTCCCACTGAGCGGGGAGCCCGATGTGGGGCTTGATCCCAGGACCCTGGGACCATGACCTGAGCCAAAGGCAGTCGCTTAACCGACTGAGCCACGCAGGCACCCCAGCCTAAAGTTTTAATGAGTAGGTTGCACTTTAGGGTTCATTAAGTTGCAAAAATTTCTACTCCCCCAGTTGTTCTTCTGTAAGTGCTACAATCATGCATGTCAGCAGAAAAGTTTAATTTAAAAATTTGGAGAGTGGGGGGCGCCTGGGTGGCTCAGTCGTTAGGCGTCTGCCTTCGGCTCAGGTCATGATCCCGGAGTCCTGGGATCGAGTCCCACATCGGGCTCCCTGCTCAGCGGCAAGCCTGCTTCTCCCTCTCCTGCTCCCCCTGCTTGTGTTCCTGCTCTCGCTGTCTCTCTCTCTGTCAAATAAATAAATAAAATCTTAAAAAAAAAAATTTGGAGAGTGGGGGCACCTGGGTGGCTCTGTCAGTTAAGCGTCTGACTCTTGATTTTTGGCCCAGGTCATGATCTCAGGTTCATGAGATCAAGGCCATGTCAGGCTCCACACTCAGCACAGAGTCTGCTTGAGACTCTCTCCCTCTCCCTCCACCTTCCCCACATGCACGCGCGCGCTCTCTCTCTCTCAAATAGAATAAACATCTTTTAAAATATAAAAAAAAAATAAAATTTGGGGAGTGTTTCCATTTATATTTCTACTCCAAACCTAAAAGTGCTTAATACTGACCAATGTGAAATTTTGACATTTCAGAAGTCTCTCTCAGGAAGTTTATTTAAAATTACTCCCACAAAAAAAATGAAATTACTCCCACAGACCTACTTTTACTATTAAGGCAAAACTATGTAATTCTAACACGGAGACCAGCTTTCAACACAATTAAGGTACTTTCTTAAAAAGCATTTCAAAGTTATACAGGTTGAAGTCAAATTTCCTGCAGCCACCACTTGGGAAATAAAAAGAGAAGTCAATACCTAGCATATCCAGTATTTAAATTCCTCCTGAGGATAGAGGGGTGCCTGGGGTGGCTGTCGGTTAAGCATCTGCCTTCAGCTCAGGTCAAACCCCGCATCAGGCTCCCTGCTTCTCCCTCTCCTTCCCACTTGTGCTCTCTCATATAAATAAATAAAATCTTTTAAATAAATAAATAAGTAAATACCTCCCTAGGGTGGAGCACCGTGACTTTGATCTGTTACAACTGGAAAGGCAGAAAGTGCACTAAAGATTAATCTTTCTAACTGTATAAAATACAACTATTCTCTCAGTTTTGTCTAATGGGGAGGAAAAAAGATGCGGGGAAGCAAGATGAAATTACAAAAGTCTTTTTTTGGTAGCTAGATTGGAACAGTCAAAAGAGGTAAGACAGAGTAAGAAAAAGACAAAGTTTCCGTCAAGAGCTTATGATACCCCACTTGCCTAAAGCCTCCTAAACGGTTTTCTTTGTCCCTTGGTAGACTTTTAAAACATAAATTGGATTCCTACTTAGAACATTCCAATGGTAACCAATGTACATGGAATAACCACATCTCATACCACTTTCTCCCTTACCTAACTCACTCAAGCCATAATAGCATCTCCGCACTACTCTTCCCTTTGCAAGAATACTGGGCTCCTAGATCTCTGCATGGCTGGCTTTTCCTTGTATTAGGTTTCTTATCAAACGTACCTCTTTTGAGACCTTCCTTAACCATCTGACATAAAGTATTCTCTTCCCCCAGGTCACCCCAGCATGTCATTGTTAATCTATTTGTCTTCGTGGCACTTAGCACTGCCTGAAATTATCTTATCCTTTCATTTACTTGTGTGTTCTCTGTCACTTCCTCTAGGATGTAACGTCTAGGTTGAGAGCAAGAACTGGGGCTCACCACCTATAACAGTGCCTATAATAGTGCCCTGAATATAGAAGATAGGCAATTATTTGCTGAATAAATGACGAAGGACTCCTCATCTGGGGATAGGAGGAGTTGTTACAAAGGAACATTCTACTCAAGGACTGTGACTATGATTAAGAACTGAAATAAACAGGGGCGCCTGGGTGGCTCAGTCCTTAAGTGTCTGCCTTCGGCTCAGGTCATGATCCCAGGGTCCTGGGATCGAGCCCTGCATCCGGCTCCCTGCTCAGCAGGAAGCCTGCCTCTCCCTCTCCCACTCCCCCTGCTTGTGTTCCCTCCCTCACTGTCTCTCTCTGTCAAATAAATAAATAAAATCTTAAAAAAAAAAGAACTGAAATAAACCACTAGCAGTGGATGATTAGTATAAAGTTGTAACAAGAAACTAAGCAGTTAATTTATTATAAAGAATATTTCTCCTGGGACACCTGGGTGGCTCAGTTGGTTAAGCGACTGCCTTCAGCTCAGGTCATGATCCTGGAGTCCTGGGATCAAGTCCAACATCGGGCTCCCTGCCTGGTGTGGAGTCTGCTTCTCCCTCTGACCCTCTCCTCTCTCACTCTCTCTCTCTCTCATTCTCTCTCAAATAAAAATCTTTAGGGAAAAAAAAGAATATTTCTCCTATGCTTAGTGTTAGCTGTTTTAATACAAAACACTATTTTTTCCCTAAAGAGAAAAGCAGAGTAACATATCATTGATAAAACATATCCCTAGTGGGGCGCCTGGGTAGCTCAGTTGGTTAAGCGACTGCCTTCGGCTCGGGTCATGATCCTGGAGTCCTAGGATCGAGTCCCGCATCGAGACCCGCATCGAGACCCGCATCGAGACCCGCATCGAG